CTCGGTCGGTGAAGAAGATGACTGTGTCGGTAAAGAAACGATGGTGGACCTTGTTGTAAGTTGCTCCATCGATTCAGTCAAAAACCATTGGCGAGAATGAATTTCGATGATGGAATTTTATGGACTCCTGTTACGACGGTAGAAGAGAATGCAGATTCGCCACCTTCAAGTTGTTTCAATTTTTTGTTCAAATTTCTCTGGAATTTAAATATTGTAATACTATATTTACAGTCGGTTAGTTCACTTGAAATTGAAAGTACACCGTTGCCCGTTCTTAGTGGCCAAACCAGCAAATGTTCCGAAGTTACAATTTCTTCGACCCTCGAGGTAAATTTGGAATAGTGGCTACATCTGCGATCAATGGACAACGTGTAAATTCTAATTCGATGGAAACTTGTATTGACAAAGGTCATGCTTTTGGCAGGCGCGCCAAACTCGTTCGGCACGAAAAATACCGCACAAGCAAAAGATGCCAACAGAAGCCGAGAAAACTTGTGTCTTGGCAGCGCACAATCACCGTAAGAATTGGAAAGCTGTGACCTCTCACAATGAACTCCTCTTGACGACAGCTCGACATGTGATTCGCAAGAACCGAGCCAGTCATGTAAGGATGTGGAGCCTTCCTGACACATCTGAACTCACGTCGGACAGCTACGAGTTGAAGATTCACCGCAAGTAATAGCTCTTGCGTTGAGTATGCATTAAGTGACGTACGAAGGAAGAGGAGCAGCATGAACGAGGCCACATGCTTGAATTCAACGATTCTAGACTATGGCGTCAGCCATCGGAAGGATGTGCTTGAGTTGAGATAAATCCTGTGTTCTAATTCATTCTTCAATTTGCCTCCAACCTCCAAGTCCCCTCTCCACCGCGTTATCCGGTTTTCTATCCGGATTCAGTGTCCCTCTGCAAAAAATACCGGAGTCGTTATATTTGGTAGCACTTCTTGGTTCCTCATTGTCCTTGGGTGTCCCTCGGTGTCCCTTGTCCCTCGAATTACTGTCCTAATTAGGCGGTAGTGTGGTCATTCAGTACGACCCACGTCAAGACCATCAATACGTTCCTCTGTTGCTGTAAGATATACTTGGCAGTACTGATAAATCCATCCTCAGTCCTAGTTGAATCAGTAGATGCCTCGAAGTAAAACTCGTAAACCGGAGTATCTTGCCAGCCAATCGGGTCGCTCTTCGAAGACCCTCGACCAGCCGAGCGACTGCGTCAAGACCTGAACACCCTGACCAAGCACCAACTTAAGGTTCTCAGTGCCCTAATTCCGGAAGCAAAAAACTCCGACGCCCGCAACACTCATCAAGCGTTCAAGGACCTCGCCCTCAAGAGCAACGACGAATTGGACGAATACAACATTGGCTTTTTGGATTTCCATATCGCGCTGTACAAAAAAAGCGCGAAAGAAAAGAAAAAGCAAAGTGAGAAGCCAAGGAAAAACGTTCCATCCAAGAGTAGAGAGAGTAGAGTAAAGAAAAAGAAAGAAATGAATGGAAGAAAAAAACAAAATAAGAAAAAAATCAGCAAAAAAGGAAAAGAAAAGACGATAGAAAAGTAAGAAAATAGCAAAAAAGTGAATAGATGGAATAAAACAAGATGGAACAATTTTTGGAGACCCTGTTGCAAACGATCCAACGCCAACAACAAAGAATGGAAACCGTCGCAGAAACTCAACTCCAACAACTCATGACCCAACACGAAGCCTCCGTGCGCCATGCCGATAGCTTGCGACGACAAGAAATCAAGGTGGAAGGACTCAAGATGCCCAAGTACTACGGAAAAATCGACGAAAGCATTAGCCTGTTTATTCACCAGGTGACGACCTACTTTCATGCGAAGAACATCGACCCGACTCAAGACGAAGTAACCCATGCCCGATGCATTGCAATGGTGGTTACCAATATCCGAGGACTAGCTGCAACATGGTATCAAGACCGATTACGCACGACGAACAGATCACCGAGCACACTGCAAGTACTGGAGCAAGAACTACGAGCCGAATTTGAACCTGAAGACCTTCAAGACCGCCTTCGCGACCAGCTGCATGCCCTGAAGCAAGAACGTTGCCATGAATTAGCTGCTTATGTTGGCAAGTTCAGACGCATTTGCACGCATATCTGTGACATGACTGAACGAGACAAGGTCAACAATTTCCAGCGGGGCCTCCGCACCAGAACACGAGAAGAAGTACAGTACCGTCGATGCCTCAACGTGACAAGCGCCATCCAGACGGCCCTTGACTTTGACAGTTTTACGCTTGGAAATCGCCCCAGGAAACCATCATCAAGACTGACGCAATCATCGCCAAGAACAATACGGACGCAACCAAGGTCATCAAGGACGCCGTTACCAGCCAACGCCAGGACCAAGACACGGAAACTTTCAGCAACAGCCGCGCCAACGAGAAGAAGACGACATGGAAGTCGATAACGCCCAAATGAACAGGCACCCGCTGCGAACCAACGACCAACAAGAGGATGCTTCAACTGTGGTAGAATGGGCCACAGAATCGCTGAATGTAGAAGCACTAGACGAAACAACGAACAACGAGTACAAGTAGCAGCAGCCAGCCGACCAACAAACCAACGTAGCAATCAGCGCCGACAGACCAGCCACCAACACAACGCTGAAGTGGAAGAAATTGAAGACAGCGACGAAGAAATTGAAATGATTTCTGCGCAAGTGGCAGAAACCAAGGACCAAGCCCGCGAGTACAAGCTGATGATTGCAGAAGGATTAATTGATGGAAAACAAGCACGAATTCTCGTTGACAGTGAAGCAACGAATTCATTGTGTCGACCCGGACTGTGCACCATTATTCATCAAGAACAAGAAAGTCATCGTTGAAGGCTTTGATGGGCACAGCTCTGGTCCCCAGCAAGTGAAGGAAGTTCAAGGATCAATCAAGTTCAATGGATGGAAGTTCCCCAATATGCCCTTTACGGAATGGGATTTGGGAGAGAAGAACTTTGACGCCATCCTGGGCCAGCCGTGGTTTGTTCGCTACAACCCTCTCATCGATCGGAGAAGCCACAAGATTCTATCGATTAATGGAGCAGAAACCATCGATCAAGCGAACAACGGTTGGATTCTGAAGATTTTCTCTGTGAAAGAAGCCCAGAAGCAAGTGGAACCGATGATTCAAGACGTGTTGGACGAGTTTAAGGACGTTTTCCCCAAGGAATTGCCTGCCGAACTGCCACCAGAACGAGGAATTGAGTTTGACATGCCGATGCGCCCTGATGCAAAGCCGCAGTACAGGCCGCCCTTTCGACTCTCCAAGGTGGAAAGAACTTCCCTCGAACAACTACATCGACGACCTCAAACGCAAAGGATGGATTCAGCTATCGAACAGTGACTGGGTGTCGAACATTTTTGGTGATCCAAAGCGTGATGAAAACGGTCAAATGCGGTCCCGTGCTGAATGGTTACGCACTGCAACTCCAGACACGCCAATTTGATG